CCCGTGGCGCGGGCGCTGCCTCCCCCGCTCACCGCGCTCTCGCTCCCGGCGCCGCCGCGGGACCCGGATGCCGGGCGTCTCCGCCCGCGGCCTCTCTCACGCCGAGAGGAGGCAGCTGGCCGCGAACCTCACGCGTGTCCTGTCGCTCTACCGGTCCCTCCTGGACGCCTACATCTTCGTGAGGCCACGCGGGTGTGGGCGGGGGGGCCCCGGTCGCGCGCTTGTCTCGGTGCCCGCAACAGGGAGAGAATCTGGAGAGGTAGCCTGATGGCTTTTCTCCCCCGAGTTTCAGTCTGTCTTTACCAGAAGGGGTTAAAACTGGGGCGATCCCCCCCCTTTTTTTTTACAGATGACACATATTTCTGATGTTAATATTTCTGATATCTAGGTTTTTTTCCCTGGCCTTTCCAAATCAAGGTACTAAAACGCATGGACACGTGAGCCATGCTGCAGCTACGCTCAGCTCTTTGAATGTGTGAGCGGTTCTAAGAACACACACATGTTCGCTCATCCGCGCGCTGAGTAAATTCCTGGTTTTGTAATGTAGTGGACGCCTCCAAGCCTGGAATCCGACAGGCTCCGACTAGAAGAATCCTGCCTGCTGTGCTGTGTTAGCCACAGGCGTGAACTAAAAATTCCTCCCAGCCCGGTTTCCCGGCTGTAAGCTGGGTCCCTGTTTGAAGGATCGTTGTGAAGCATCAGTGAGATGTTGTATTATTGCCTCCGAGTCCACTTGTTCAGGCCCCAAACCCAGAATCCATCCTGGATCCTGCTCTTCAATGACCAGTCCCCCAACAAGTCCTGTTGGCTCCACCTCCAGAGTAGATACCAAGTCCACCCATTTGTCTCCATCTCCTTGCCCACCCCGCTCCCAGCCACCACCATGTCCGTACTGGCTTCCTGGCTGATCTGTGTGCCCGCTTCAGCCCCCACATAATCAGTTCTTCACAAGCAGCCCAATGGATCGCTTTAAAGTGTAATCTGGTGATGATACTCCCTCGCTTCTTGGGTGCTCTGAGGAAATCCGAACTCCTTCCCCTTACCTGTGAAGCCCTAGGGGACCCGTGCCCTCCTGCCTCTTGAACCCCATCACATTTCATTGTCTCCCACATCCAGTCCTGCCCCCTGCACTGGCCTGCCAGCTGCTTGGTGGGTATGGCAGGCCTCTGGGCCTGTGCACTCACAGACCTGCCTGGAGTGTTCTCCGCCCACAGAAAGGTACATTGGTTAAAAACAGGAATTCTAGTCAGGTTGGTGTCATCCTAGCTCTGCTACTTAATAGCTTTTCGATCTGGCAACCTACTTTTTGATCTGGCAGTCATGTGTAAACGGGGCCGTAAAAAAAGGCTACCTATCTCATAGGGTCGTGTTGGGGATTAAATGTGTTACCACATGTAGAATGTTTGGCACAGTGCCTGACACATGAACGTGGTTCGTTTGCCGTTACCTGAACTTTTTTTACTCGTCTGCTACCTGTTCATCACTCACCTGTCAACTCCTCAGACGAGTCTGCCCTCCTTACTCTCTTTCCAACTCTCCTGTTTTGTTACAGTTTCACTATCTACGTGGCATTTGATGTTACCTGATTTTTTTAAATGTAAACTCTGCAAGAGCAAGAATTTTGTCTGTCTGTCTGGTTCATCATCGTGTTCCCTGAGCCTGGCATGGAGAGAGCGCGGTGCATAACCAAAGCTCCAGGGTTTGTGTTGAGCAGGTGAAGGAACGAAAATACGTTCTGGCATGTCACGTGTCTGGCCTGTAGGGCGGTAGGTGCTGGCTGGGAACATCCTAACGCAGCGCGTCAGTCCCTGGGGCGTTGGGGATGCCGAAGCGAAGACACCATCCCTGCCCTTCGGTTCAGCTGAGTGGAGAAGCAGACACGTCGATAAGCGGGACGCTGCCGTTAGCAGAGGAGTGTCCAGAATGCAGTCTGGGCTCCGAGGAAGAGGGGGAGCCTAGAGCGGGCTTCAGAGAAGAGGTGGCCCGGACGAGGAGGAGGCACCTGCTGGTCGCAGCCAGTGGCCCTGCACTGAGAGTCGGGAGGGGAGAATGGGCCCGGTGGGAGCTGTGGTTTCCCCTCCACAGGAGTTTTTCACAGACCAGCTGTGGAGCACGTTGCCTCGCTCGTGGCAGGAAGCGTTGGATGGCCTGAACCCGCCACAGCTGGCCGCCCTGCTGCTGGGGATGCCCGCGGAAGGGGACGTGGTCAGGTATGGGCACAAGGGCCCTGTGCCAGCTGTCACTCGGAGTCTCACGAGGGCTTCCTGGGTTGTAAACTGGTGCCCTCAGGACGTGATGGGACTATTCATGGGGGCCTGGGCCGGGCTATCTCAGGTACAGGTCGGTGTGGCCACTCACCCTGCTGGCCCTGAAGTCCACAGCCTCGGCCCTGGCCTTTACGCGGACACCTGGCTTTCAGACCCCCTCAGAGTTCCTGGAGAACCCCAGCCAGAGCTCCCGACTGACGGCTCCATTCCGAAAACACGTCAGGCCCAAGAAGCAGCACGAGATCCGGAGGCTGGGGGAGGTGAAGAGATGGCCCGGGTTGAGTGGTGTCTGGGGGCCTGGGTTCTCCTTAGGCTGGTGGGTTACACGGGTGTGGACAGCGTGCGTCACCTGCAGAGCCGGAGCCCTGAGGTCCCCTTCCGTGGCAGGTGTACTAAACATATCGATGCTATCTTTTTTTCTCTTAATGTTTTGTCTGGGTTGGTGGGTGGCTGTGTCTGAATCAGTCTCTTTCTGTGTCACACCTCAGTCACTGGCCCACGGCTTCACAGAGGGGCTCCTTCCTGGTTGTGTGGGGAGATGGGGATGAGCAAGGAGAGTGGCCTGAGCCTGGGGTCAGCACCCCACTCTGGTCTCCCTGTCCCATGTCATCCACGGCACCCTGTAGCCTCTTCCTCTGCCCTTACGATGGCCGACGGCCCCGGGAATCGGAACGACTGGCCAGGAGACCTTTGTTTCCTCCTCTTTCAGTTGGTGAAGAAGCTGAGTGATCTGACGGGCTGCACCCAGGTTGTGGATGTAGGCTCAGGCCAGGTGAGCCAGACCCCGATGTTCTGGGTATTTTGAGTTGGAGGGACAGGCCGCTAGAAGGCAGGAGGTCGGGCCCAGGAGTGGGGATGTAAACGGTACAATTGAAGTCTTCTGGGGGCCTGGGACCCAGGTGTCCAGGCCACTGATGGAGAAGGTGGCGGTGGGTGAGAGCGCTGGGCGGGGCTGCCTCTGCCCCCTCTCGTGACTCCAGGGCCATCTCTCCCGCTTCATGTCCCTGGGGCTGGGGCTGAAGGTGAAGAGCATCGAAGGGGATCGGAGACTGGTGGAGAGAGCCCGGCGCCTGGACCGGGAGCTGCTGCACGCTCTGGAGAAGGAGCAGAGGAGGAAGCCACAGGTGGGCCGGTCGCGCCTGCAGGAGCCGCGTCTGCGCTGGGCTCTGGGCCGAGCGCCCTGGTCAAGTGTCTCTGCCTCGTGAGCCGGCGAGCTCCGTATCTGCCACCCCATTCCCCAGGTCCCCCTTCGCCACCTCCAAGGCACCGTCTAGTCACCCAGTGCTTTCTGCACCTATGTGCGCTGCTCACAGCCACCTGTGAAGTGGCCAGTCAGGCACCACCGCTACCAGTAAGGAAGCGGCGGCCCAGATGGAAAAATTGGCAGTTGACACTAATAGACCCAGAGTCTCCCATCTCTGATTCAAGGCCCAGTTTACTCCCACCTTCTTCATTGGGAGGGGACACAAAGGACATACCCCTTCTTGTGGCCTGAGGTAGCATGGGGACAGCAAACATTTCCTTTCCTGCATCCGCAGGTGGCGCCCACTGGGCCTCGCCGCTCCCCACAGCACGTGGTTCGGTGGGTGGAGCCCGCGGCCCTGTGCGACGAGCTTTTGCTTCCGCTGGAGCACTCGCCTCGGGGTGGCGCCCGCTTGCTGCTGACAGGCCTCCATGCCTGCGGGGACCTGAGCGTCACCTTGCTGAGGCACTTCTGCTGCTGCCCCGAGGTGGTGGCCCTGGCCTCGGTGGGCTGCTGCTACATGAAGTTGAGTGACCCTGGCGGCTATCCACTGAGTCAGTGGGTGGCAGCGCTGCCCGGCTGCGAACTGTCCTACAGGCTGCGGGAGGGGGCGTGCCACGCCCTGGAGGAGTACGCCGAGAGGCTGCAGAGAGCCGGCCCGGGCCTCCGAACCCACTGCTACCGGGCAGCCCTGGAGACGGTCATCCGGCGTGCCCAGCCCACGCTCCGGCGGCCAGGCGTGCAGGGCATCCCCAGGGTCCACGAGCTCAAGATCGAAGAGTGAGGCCGGTGGTGGTGGGGGGGGCCCACTGACGGTCCTGTTTCCCCTCCTCCCTCATCCGCCCACACACCCTAAGGAAACCCTCAGTCGCCCGGGGTGGGGTGATTCTGGGTTCTCCGACTGGGGCAGCTTCTGGATGTCTTTGAAAGAGAGTTGTCTCTTTTATTAGGAGACTCTCCTGAGATTTTTAAATGCTAAAAATATGGCTAAATAATTGGATGAAAATGTAATTTTGGAGCTACTGGTTATTGGACAAACAGCCAGAGAAACATTTAAAATGCAAACGAGGGCAGCAAACCAGAGTTTGAATCGGATTCGGAATGGGCGGTCTGAGCGGGAGGCGGAGGCTCCTAAAAGCTCACAGCACTGTGCTTGGCTCTGGCAGGTACGTGCAGCGGGGGCTGCAGCGGGTGGGGCTGGATCCCCAGCTGCCCCTGAACCTGGCTGCCCTTCGGGCCCAGCAGGCCCAGGAGAACCGTGTGGTGGCCTTCTTCAGCCTGGCCCTGCTGCTGGCCCCGCTGGTGGAGACATTGATCCTCCTGGACCGGCTGCTGCACCTCCAGGAGCAGGGTGAGGGGTCATGGTGGCGCCCAGTTCATCCTTGGGGATTCTCCGACCCTTATATCAGTCACAGTGGGGTGGGGGCGGGTAACTACAGACTCCCATTGGGTCGGCCTCTGGCGTGCATCCCCGAGGGCATTTTAAGTGAGCACCCCAGGACTGCGAGCCTGCCTGTGCAGGGGACAGCCTCCACCCATCTGTACCTCAGTTCCTGGTAGAGAACCAGGTCTCGTGTCCCCTGAGCCTCCCCCGGGGAAGGGTGCTCTGCCTGCCTACGGGCTAGACAGCCAGTGTGTGGGCTTCACCCGCTTCTGAGCAGCCTCTGTTTACCCCAGGCTTCCATGCTGAGCTCCTGCCCATCTTCAGCCCTGAGCTCTCTCCCAGAAACCTGGCTCTCGTGGCCACCAAGAGGCCCCTGGGTCAGGCCTTCTCCGTGCTGGAGACTGAAGACGGCTGATGCACCCCGTCTGGACCCCCAGTGCACCCCTCCCCGAGAACCAGCATCCTGCACCCTCCCTGGGGCTTCAGTTCCTCACAGACCTCAGCTCTGTACTCTTCTCTACGTGTTAGGTAATATGTACACAATTGTTTTTAATTTATTAAAAGATGAAATATTTATTTTTCTTCTATTTCTGTTAAATACAGAAAAAAGTAGCCCGCCCCTTCCGTGAGGTCCTGCCGAGGTATGACAGTTGGGGCTCATCTGCAACCCCTACTGCCCTCAGAACAGGCAGCATCTTGTTACTCAGAGATCCCCACGGGGTGGTGATGGGGGACCTCTGCCCCTTTAGCCCCACCCTTGCGGAGGGCTACCCTAGGGCTGGCCAGCTCACACCCAGGTTCCAGCTTAACCTCCGACCCAGGCCCCTCCCTTCAGTCTTTGAAGCAGGGGTGGGCGCCAGGTGGGTGCTGGCAGACAGCAGCTGCGTGCAGAGCAGGGCTCGGGCTGTTTCTTGGCATCGGAGGAGGGGAGCCCCGGCTCTCTGGGCCAGGATGGGACAAGCTGCTCTGCTCAGCTCAGTACCAGTAGACCTTCTTGTGTCGCCGGGTCTCCTGGATCCCCATCGCCTCCATCACCTCCTCCTCCAGCGTCTTCAGACGGGGCACGTAGGTTCTTTCGAGAGCATCTTCCACTGATGTGTCTTTGGGGCCATCTGTTGAGCCAGAGGAAAGATGGGTGGGAGAGCTTCTAGCCCCCCTCCTCCCGCCCCTGCCCCTCCCCCCACCCCAACCCAGCCTCACCACCCCTGCCCCTCCCCCCACCCCAACCCAGCCTCACCAGTCCACGTTTCAGGGACAATGCCATCCGCTCGGGGAAAGTCCGGTTTGGGGATAATTCTTCCCGACCTTGTGGAGACTCGGACCCGCTCTCCTGCCTCGGTGAACCTCCACTCTATCTCAGTGGGTTTCCTAGTGGACATGAGAGGTGAGCTCGCTTGAGAGCCAGGCCTCCCTGCTCCCCTCCAGCCCGAAATTCAGTGGGTGCTGCCACGAAGATCACCCACCACCTAACGTCTCTGCTGCCTCTGTACTGGGGTTGCCCGCAGGGGTCATGTCCACGAGATGCCCTCTCAGTCCAGAGCATCTAACCCACCCTTCCCACTGAGTAAAGTGCTTATCGCCTGCATGGACTCTGAGGGTGGGCACCCCTCCACCCAGAGCCCCCCGTGTGCTTGCCTGTCCACAGGGTCCACAAGTTTGACCTGGTTGTGGAGCAGGGGTGCTTCGCTAGGGATCATGGTTCCCCGCTGGTCTTTGGTCCTGCCGACATAGCGGAAATGCTGTCCAAGAGAGGGGGTGTCAGAAACCAAGGGGTGTGAAGGGGACTGGCCTAGAGCATCTCGGAGCATGCAGCCCACGTTGGAAAATGGGAGGTTCACTTGTCTCACAGTGGAAAATGGGAGGTTCACTTGTCCCCGCAGCCAGCCATGCTGCTCTTCAGAGAGGGGCAGACGGGACCGGCTTCCCGAGCCTCCGCCCCACTCCGCGTACCGTATTCAGCCCCTCCAGGACCACCCAGTTCCGCTGCCGGATCACTTGGACCACTCTGCCTTGCTTCCCGGCATCCTTGCCTTCTAGGATCTCCACCTGTGGCGATACATAAAGGTCAGGGAGGGAGGCCTTGCTCCAGGAGCCCGCCACAACTCTGTCCCCTGAGGTCCTCACCCTGTCCCCACAGAAAAGATGCCAGTCTTCATCAGAGATGGGTTCCACAGCCACCGGGCGGCGCCTGCTCCCTGGAGGGTTCCTCTTCTTGTCTGCCAGGGAGCCGGGGCGGCTCATCCCGTAGCGGTAGTTGGGGGGCAGAGTGGCCTTGGACGCCAAGGCCAGCAGGGCAGAGAGACGCATGGTGGAGGCTGACCAGCAAAAGGCCCAGAAACCTTCCTCGTCAGCTCTGGGGTAGACGGACAGAAACAAGGGAGAAAAGCAGAGGAAGAAAGTATTTCTAAGCACGTACTCCATTGCTCAGTGGACCTCATCTCACTGAGTCCCCTACAGGAATTATCTTTACCTTGAGGAAACAGACCAGGTTAAGTGACTTGCCCGTGACCATAAAGCTACTATGCCGGAGAATTGGCATTCAGACTCACGTCTATCTGACTCTACAGGCACCAGGTTATGTAGCTCACCCCTGAATCCAGCAGATCACAGTAGGGCTTGACACACAGTAGGTACCCAATGAAAAGTCATTAATATGCACGAACAGCAGAATAGGAAGAAAACGTAATGGAATAAAACACTGGCATAAGGCCAAAAGGCAGACAGTTACAATGTAAAACAAATGGAAAAGAAACAAAATCTGGGATTAAAATGTTCCTATACCACTTCCAATTCCTATCTTGTCATGAAAACAAACAAACAAACACTACGTGATAAGACAGCTGCTTTTCTAAAAGGGCCAGAGCCAGACTCCAGGATTTCTAGGTCCTACTTTTCGCAACTAAGTCACGTACCGTAAGCCTCCCAGTTTGGGACGATGGATTAGATCAGTAAGGGCAAAAAATAACTGCTTCCATGTATCGTTGCCTGTCCATGGGCGCCACGAGTTTGACCTGGTGCCATGCTAACTGCCAGGTTCCATGCTAACTGCTTCCCTGTATCGTCTCATTTAAGTCCAAGGACAACTAATGAAAGGAGGTACCATTAACCCTTTTATACAGCTAAGAATGAAGTCTAGCTTCAAAGTACAAATAAAGTGCACTATAACAGCACAAAGAGCTCTGGACCTGGGTTCTGGTTCCTGCTCCACCACTGCTTTCTGTGACCCGAAGCCACTTAACTTCTGGGCTGTTTTCATCATCCATAAAACTTTACAGGGTTGCTGGTGTCATTCAAATTACTTTCAATGTCTTAAGGCCAGGTACGGAATGTGATCAGTATTATCCCTTTGGGGTAAATTTTAAAAATAAACATACTGACAAGCATAAATATTTATGGGCAGGAAATAAGAAACAACTAAAGTACTTGTCTCGGGGAGAGGAACTACTTGGGAGAGCTGTTACTTAACGACTAATTCCTTGCCATAACGTTTGCATTTTTTAAATCCTGTGCGTTAAAAGATAAACTACCGGTTTATCTGCACAGGAGATATTGTGTCATTTTCTTCTTTATACTTTCTAAAATGAAAAAAGCCTAATGTTATTTTAATTAATGCTGGTTGAACGTAAGGGCTTCGGGGGGCTCATTCAGAGTCAACAAGTGGCTAGCTAGCTCTAGTGAGACAGACAAACGTAATACTGGGAACATCACTATTACTGGCATTTGATCTTCCCCGTAAGGAAGGCGAACAGGAGACAAGGAAACCAAGGCCATGCAAACTGAAGCGACTTGTCCTCGTTCATACAGTTTGACAGGAGCAGAGCCGGTGTTAAGACCCACGACTTGGGTGTGACTGCTGCAAGAAGTCCCTTAACTTCCGCCAATCATGAATCTGAAGCTCTTGGCGGCAGCGGGGAAGATCTCCGAAGCCAGCCCCCTGGATAGATCTCTTCCTTCTTTCCCTCCATATCCCGGAGAGGATGGAGTGCTCGCCTCAGCGGGGCTTTCGCGCATGCTCTGGAGGAGCGTGCGAAGTAGTGCGTGGAACGTCTGCCTTCAGGCCCGCGCTGCCAAGGCTTCCCCGCCAGCCCTTCCCAGGTGCGCGCGGTGTCCAGGCTCTGGCGGTCTGCAGCACCCGCCCGCTCCAAGCTTCCGGTGCAGGCCAAGCCCGGGCGAGGCCACTGGGCCACCGCCGGGGCAAAGGCAGGCCCTTCCCGCACCAGCCTCCCCGACGAGCCCAAAGCCGCCGACGCCTGCGGGCCGCGCGGCCCTCACCTCCTCTTCCCGCCGCGCCGCGGAGCTTCCGCCTGTCACCTCCTGCACGTGTGCCCCGAGCGCCGCCAGCGCCGGGCCTCGACTCTCCAGGAAACGCAGTCTCACCGCGGGCCGGAAGCACACCCCCGCCTGGCCCCTCTGCATGCTGGGAGTCGTAGTCTGCGCCGCGAGGCGCGCTGGGAACCGGAAGTTGGGGCCCGCGGAAGCCAAGACGCGTTGGACCGCGCGAAGCACGCCGGGCGTCGGCCCGCTCCTGCGCCTCTGCGGGCTGCTGGGAGTTGGAGTTTCCGGCGACAACGGCTCCATTTTCTGGTGATCGTGGCTTCCTTTGCAGGCAGGGCCACAGCCGGCGCGCCCTCTGTCGCAGGGGTCCGGCAGATTAAACCTGTCAGGCTTCCTGGAGGAAGGGACGGAAGGTGGGCCCGGCAACGACCCAATCACAAAATGTCAAGTCTGGAAGGAGCCTCAGTGGTGATCAGACGCAGCCTTTCCCCTTAGCTCTGGGGAGTCCTGGGAGGGTCCCACCCTGTCAGCCTCCTCGCCCTGAACGCCAGCCGAGGGGGCCAGGCATCCCTGGCTCTAACCTTCGGGAGCGCGGGTCAAAGTTGTTTGCACTGCCGACCCAAGTACCCCCACTTCCATGGCCACCGTGGGCTGTGGCTGATGTTGGTCCTCCCTCACACCCTGCTGCTTGTGCAAGCCTTCTTTACCTTCCCACGTGCTTAATGGAGCAACCTGTGTGAACCGGCAGCTGGACACAAGCAGAATAAACGGTGTGGCTTGTGACTTCCCTCAAGAATTTTGGCTTTCTCAGTCTGGGAAGGGAGGACGGGACGACACCCGCCGCCGCAGTCTGACAAGGCGTTGTGGCAATCACTTGCCTTCCGTCCCCACTTCAGTTAACCAACGCGGCTCCCAAAGAATCAGTCGGAATCCAATGTAGTAATCAACGGGTTTATTTTCCTAGAACTGAAATAGTCTACGGTTCTCAGAGCTAAACTTCCAAAGCTACAGTCAGCAATTTTTCATCAGAGCCCAAGGGAAAGGGGCAAGGGCGAAAGACAAGAGATGAAGAGGCATAGAGACCACTAGAAAGAGGTGGGAGAGGCCACCCATTTCCCTGTCTTCTCAGTGGCTTACAAATTGGATCTGGTGACTACAATGAGGGGACCAGTTGGATGAAAAATGACACCGGAAGGAACACCAAAGCCCCAGCTAGAAAAGGAAAAGTCATCAAGCCCCAAACAGATGGGGAGCCTCCCAGTGCACCTCAGAAATTGGGGCAATAGTGGGGAAGAAGGGAGCAGAGTGGGGGGCACACAAAGGGATAGGGGGTCTTTAAATTTTTTTTAAATTTTCTTTTATTAAAAACATTTCCTAAAAAATGTGTCTTCTCCTTTATGTCTGGGTGACATAGGTGACTGTAGGCTGGCCTTGAGCACTGTGGGGAGAGGGAAAGGGGCAGCTAGGGGTCTCCCCAGGCCATCTGTCTCTGGCCAGAGACCTAAAGGGGGATAGCTCCTCCTCGACACCCCACCCAGGCTGGGTGGGGCCCCCCCCTTCAGAGCTCAGCTCCTTGGCCCAAGCATCTGGGAAGCCCCCAAATCTTCTGATGAGTAACTACAACTCCCAGAAGTCCTGGAGTTAGCAAAAGGAAGAATGAGTGCTGTCAATCACAAGGACTTATGAAAGGGAGTCCCCTCCCCCACAAGCTGTCCCATTTTCCCTGAATCCAGGCAGCAGGGATAACGGGTCCCGGAGGAAGGGACAGGATCTCAGGAAGATCCCGCCCTCCCACCCCCCACCCGAATTTGAGGGCTGACCCTCGCGGGCCCCGGAGCCCACCCTGCTGCTGCTGATTCTCCACCCCTTCCTCCTAGCCCCGATCCCAACCAACCCCACCCGAGATCCAGAAAGCCTGGGGAAGGGGCAGAGAGGTGTCAACAGCGGGAGCGGCTGCTCCGGGCCGAGAAAAACCCAGGTGGGGAGGGACGTGATGGCCTCATCCCACGGCGAAGACTCAGCCCTGACTCAAATCACAGGGGCGTGGGGACATGGAGGGGAGGGCCAGGCGGCCTGCCCCACCCAGGTCAATCTCCAGGGGCTGGGCTTGGGGGGAGTGAGTGGAGGAGAGCAGCTCGGGGTGGGGAAGGGGTTCCCAGTTTGCAGGCCGTGGCCAGTTCCCCCAGTAGCACCCAGACAGCAGCAGGATCGGGGCGGGGGCTCCTCTTGAAACATTGGTGGCTACAGGCTGCGGGGAGGGTGGGGGGAGAAGGTTAACGGTGGGGCCTCGGCCTGCCCTCGCCCCCGCCAGCGCGGCCCTCCTCTCCGGGCGCCCGCTCACCTCTCGTGGTCTCTGACACCGGGGGCCTCAGCATCCTCCTTCGCAGCCTCTTCGTCCTCTTCCCCCTCTGCCTCCTCGGGAAGCGGCGCCCGGCCGGAGCTGGACTCGGAGGGGGTGCTGTTCTTCTCCCCCTCCGCGGGGAGGGGCCGCTCACCCTCCACCACGGCCACCTCCTTCTCCTCCTCTTCCGGGTCTTCTGACTCTTTGGGGCGTTTCGGGGAGTCCTGGGGAGGATGGGCGAGACGAGGCGGGCTGAGGCTGGGGAGGGCGGACGCTGGCCACCTGCCCGTGCCTCCCCACAGTCCCTCCCCAGCCCACTGCTGGCTGGCACGTCCCATGTGCCACGTGCTCAGCGAGGGACTCCCCGGGACCAGGGCGGGCCGGGAGCCCTGGGAGGGGCGGCTACCTCCAGCAGGTCGCCTGCTCTCCTCTTCAGCGCCCCCTTCTCGTTCTTCTCCTTGGTGGGCTCGTCGATGACCAGCTTCCCCTCCTCGTCGCTGCTGCCCTCAGCGGCGAGCCCCTTCTTGTCACCGTCGCCCTCTGCGGCCTCGGGCTCCGGCTCGGGCTCCTCCACGCAGCTCTTTTTCTGGGAGGACTGTGGCGGAGACAGCAGAGGCTGTGGCACCCGCGCAGCGGCCGGGCCGGGCCCCCCCCAGGCCCCCCCCCCTCGGCCACT